TTTTTTTATGTTTCTGTCATTCTTTTTAAACTATTTTGCTTTTAAATCAAAGAATTTAATACCTTTTGTAAATCTTCTATCCCAAACAATAATATGTCTATTATAAGGTGCTGTAGCTGAATATGTAGCAATAAATGTATCATGTGGTGAAATAGTAACATGTGTTAATCCTGAATGTGGAAATTGGAACTTCTTTTTACAATCTGGTTGAACTACAATTAATCCATGTTCAGTAATTGAATATAAAAATGTACCTGATGGTGAAAATGAACAATTAGATGATATAAATGGTTGTTCTTCTTGCATTGTTATTTCTTTTGGAATACTTGGGTTATACCATCCTAATGAAATAGTTTTTCCATATTGAAATGTTGCAAAACATTCATTTCCTTCAGTATATTTATCTTCTTTAAGCCATCCTTTAAAATCAGTAACTTCAATTGGATTAAAGACTAATGGTGTATATTCATCACTTTCTTTTAAAATTTCATCAATTTCTTTTTTAGTATAAAACTTTAACGTATTTTTATTATCAAATTTTAATTCAACAAATCTTGTTTTAAATTTTATTGCTGCTTCATCATCTTTAAAATCAATAAACCCAATCCCTGTAGTTTTTTGGCTTGTTTCATCAACAAAAACTATTACATTATTTGGTTGTTCAGATAATTCTGCTCCATTCTTTATCAATACCATTCTTTTTAAGAATAATGTTAATTTAGAAACTGAAGCAACAGGAATTCCTACTGGAAGTCCATCACAGATAAGTACAGAGGATTGTGTAATTTTAGACGTTTTAGTTGAAGCACTCATCAATGATTTAATTTTGTTTTTATTTTTTTATTAACAACCCTTGTTATTTACTTTTAGTTATTTTATAGTTTATTTATAGTTTACTGATTATTTCTTTTTTTTTTTTTCTTTGTTCATCTTTCTATAACTCCATTTGTTTTAAATGAAGTTGAAGAAAGAAATTAAAGAATTAACAGATAACTCTCTAATATTGTTAATAAAACAATAAGTTCAAGTGAAATTTGTAAACAAACAAGAACAATTTTTTTAAATTGAAAAATATCTGTTTAAAAAACCAATTCACTTATTTCTTTTCTGGTAATAATTGTTTCTTTGCAATATCCATCATATCATTCATGTCAGTCTCTGGTAATGGACATGGATGAATGTTCCATACATTAGCTGCATATTCTTTCATAGATCTATCAGATGAGAATTTGCCCATCTTAGATACACACATAACACATTTATGATTCCATTCTTGTGGTTTTTTCCAAGTAGCATCAACTTTCATTTGTGCTTCAAGATATGAAGCAAAGTCATGTGCAACTAAGTAATAATCATTACCTCCCCAGAATTGTCCAATTAATTTATTAAACCAATCAGCAGCACCAAACATACCTCCAGAAATGGCTTTTAAAACGTCATAAAGTCTTTCATCAATACAACTTGTTCCTTGTTGTCTAATTAATTCAACTTCATTTTTCTTAGCTCCAAACATAAACATATTTTCTTCACCAATTTCTTCTGCAATTTCGACATTTGCACCATCCCATGTACCAATAATAAGTCCTCCATTCATACAGAATTTCATACATGATGTTCCTGATGCTTCATATCCAGCAGTTGAGATTTGTTCATTAATATCATTTGCTGGAATAATAACTTCTGCAAGTGAAACGCTATAATTTGGAATAAAAACAATCTTTAACATATTGTCTATAGTTTTATCGTTATTAACTATATCAGCAACTGAGTTAATTAATTTAATAATAATCTTAGCATTTTCATATGATGTAGCAGCTTTTCCTGCAAAAATTTTAACTCTTGGAACTTGTTGTGCTCTTTCTTCTGGTGTCATTTTCTTAAGTGCTAA